GGGGGGGGGGTGAGGGTGTGCTGGGGACCTGGCTCACCGCTCCGGGGACCCGACGGTGACAGGGCTGGGGATGCTGCCCTGTGCCCCGGGTGTTTTTTCTGCAGCCGTGGGATGAGAAACCCCGACTCTGGTGAAGGTCCTGGAGGTTGTCCCGCTGGAGGGGAGAAGGGGGGGACACGGGAGGGGGTATCTGGAGCGTAGAGGGTGCTGGCAGGAGGTGGGTGCAGAGCTGGGGCAAAGCCCCGGGTTCACCGGGTGCAGGAAGGGCCGCACAGCCGAAGGGAGCGTTTAGAGGGGTGGCTCTGTGGGTCCCCAGCGCAGCCAAGAGCTGGATGGGTGCTGCTCCCGGGGGAGATGGGCCTTTGACCACTGAGCCACCCTCACAGGTTGTCATCTTCTTCCAGGACAGAAGGCCCCAGGAGCCGCGTGGAGCCACGGCGGTGGGCAAGGGGCTGGGGACTGGGTCTGACTGGTGGGAGCTGGGGGTGGCCCTCGTGCCAGGATCGCCTGCACGGATAATCCCGTGGGAAAGGGGGTGACAGCCACGCCAAGTCCCCCCTGGACGGTCCCCACGGTCAGGATCCACCACGGAACAACCCCCATGTTCCCAGGGCACCGCAGGGGAACCACAGGGATGGGTGGGGTGGGGTTTTGCGATACTGCTTCCATTTTGCCTTGAAGTCAGCTCCTACCCAAAGTCACTGCCAGGTCCCCCAGAGTCACCCTAAAATTAAACACAGCGACTCAGACAAGCGAAGGGTAACGCCCCGTGGCACAGGCTGCCAGCCCTGGCGGCAGGCAGGGAAGCCCCTGTGCCTTGAGACTGAGCCCCTGGAAGAATCCATGGCATCAACTGTGAATCCAAAATACTACCAAAGCCCAGTGGAACCTCCCGTTGCAACGCCTCCCCCTCCTCCACATTTCCACCATTCAGGGGACGGTGAAGCCAGCGCTCCCCGTGCTGTGCTCAGGTCGCAGTTCTGACCTCGCTTCTGCCCCGGGAATGTGATCTATTCTAGGGCTGAATAAGCAAAAAAAGGACATTTTGGCCATACTGGATGTGTCTCCAGTGGAAAGTCCATGGAAAGGGCCCCCTTTGCTGAGGGCGGGGTACCCACCACTGGGCAGTTTTCAGGGGGCTGCTGCGCTGGGAAGATCTCAGAGGTCGCAGTGGTGCGTCTGACTTCAGGGACTTGGGGCGGCTTTCAGCTCCCAGGAGCAGCCACCCCATCCTTTGTCTCTGCCAAGCCCTCGCCGTGGTCGGGTTCTCTTTAACGGGTGTTAATTACCGGCGCCATCACTCACAGCCGCTTCACACTTGGACATTTCTAATGAACACGCGAGGTGTCGGGATCGGGAGCAGACCCGCCCCTCGAGTCCTGCGAAGCCGCTTCCTCGGGGCTGGGGCCAGCCGAGCCGCTGGCCACAACCGGGGTCTGGAACCTGCTGGTTACTGCCGCAGGGCAGAGCCCCCGCCCAGGCAGGGGGCCGAGGAGGAGGCATTTTGGAGGTGGTTTTGGGCTACAAGACCCAAGCGAGGATCCCTGGCAGGTTGTAACGGTGCCGCAGCCGCTCGGATCCAGCCCCATCCCAGCCGCAGGTTGTGGTTTCACCGGCTTGATGCAGTGCAAGGAGAGGGGAGGGTTTGGGGGTGGCCACTGGCCAAGGGCTCTCGTGGCCTGGTGTGAAGCAGGAATTATTTATAGAAACTGGAAGGAATGGGGTGTTTGACGCAAGGATTAATTCCCTGCCTTTAGGAACCGCGGGGGATCTGCGCTGTGCTATACAGGTCAGGTAAACAACCTATATTGCGGGGATGCAGATGGCAGCAGCGCTGCTGTTGCAGGGTCAAAAGGGAAGAAATGAAGCCAGGAAAACAAAATCACACCGCGAGCCTCCGAGTTGTTTGCACGGAGTAGTAACCCCCGCGCTTCCAGGTTCGTTACTCGCCCGCTCCCACGCGGGAGCTGGCGGTAGCAGCCTCCTGTGGGGCTTTGCAAGGCGGGGTCTGCCGGGAAGGGTCTCCCCAGGCAGGAGCAGCCCCAATAGTGACCCCCCCGGGGTTGCAGAGGGCAGCGGGCTCTGCCCTCACGCTGGCAGGAGTGTGGGTGGATGTGGCAGCGGCTCCCAGGCACGGGGATACGCGGCATCCAGCTCCTCACAGCCCACTGCTGTAATCTCCCTGCTTTTAGGGAATTTTAAGTGACCTACTTGTAGCAGGAGTTGCATAATAGACTGGTGAATATATATAAAAAAGGCCGAAGCTTTCACCAACACTCAGGTTGGTTTGTATAGAAGTTGGCCTTGTCCAGCCACTCCGTGCCCTGTGCAGAGCCCTGACCTTCACCAGCATTTTCTTTTCCTTCCAGAGTCGCCTCCCGGGCATCAAGGTGAAGTACCTGCTGGTGGTGTGGCTGGGCATCTTCGTGGGCAGCTGGGTGGCATACATGCATTACTCGTCCTACTCCGAGCTCTGCCGCGGCCACGTCTGCCGGATGATAATCGTGAGTGGTGGCCAGCAGCCCCCGCGCCGGTCCCGATTTGGGGTGCTGGAGTGAGCTGGAGACCCATTTTCCAGCCTCCCCCCCAAGCCCTGTGGGGTGCCTCGCAGCCGGGCGGGCAGCGCTGGGGCAGCGTCCTGCACAACAGCTGGGCCGAGGAGCCCTCCTGGCAGCTGCTTCCCCGGCACCGTCCCTGGCATCGCGCGGAGCTCGGAGCGGGAGAGGTGACCTTATCCTGCCAGGGCGATGGTGAAACAATTTAATGAGATGTCGGAGGGAAGCGGGCCAGGCAGACGTGGGCAGATTAATGTCTGGGGAGATGAAGTTGCAATGTCAGGGCGGTGAGCAGGATCTGCGGGCAGGGAGAGCATCGCACCAGCCACCCCCCTCGGCCCCGAGCTCTGCAGAGCCAGAGCAGAAAGGGGAGCAGGCAGTCCGTGGGTACCTCTCAGTATCCGCTGACGTGCCCTAAAGAAAGGGCCAGCCTGCACGAAGAGCAGACCCCTCCCCGGAGCTTGGCACGGTGTGTTTTGCCCCTGCCTGGGGTTTGCAGTGGGGTGCAGCCTGCTCCCCACAGCGGCCCCGGGGCTGGCAGCCAAGCGGGGCCCCCCCCCAGACCAGTGTGTGTGTGTCCCACGGCAGGGGAGCAGTCCAGGCGAGGAGGGGGATGCCCGGCTCTGTCGGAAAATGCCTCGTTCATCAATCCTTCGGCAGAGAAGGGAGGCAGGAATTGCCATAACAACAGCGACGATCGTTTAATTTGATTTTCTGCATGACTCTGACCACGGGGTCTTGGGCGCTAATTCCTGCTCTGAGCTGCGGTTTAAGCTGCCGTGTCTGGCCGTGTCCCCTGTGAGCGGGTCTGAGGGTTAATTTCCATCCATGTTGGGGAAAAAAAAAGAGGAGGGAAAAGATGCAGAGAATTTCTGCAGCTCCTGTTTTCAGCCCTCAGGCTGTTGTGCCCTCACTGAGACGCTGCAGAGCTGCAGCCTCTCCTGCCCAGGGATGCCTCCAGCTCCCTGCTTGCGGATCACAGCCACCACCTGTCCCTGTCCCTGCCACCGCCTGGACCGGGGCCAGCCTGTTTCACTGAGCAGCCCAAGCATCCTCATCCTCACCCAGCTCCACACTGCCTTCTCCTCCAGCCCTGGGAGCTCCCCTAAACCCCTTGGGGCAGCAGGAGCCCCCAGGAGCAAATCCCCTGCGGTCCCTCCAGTAGCGGGATGTCTCCCCATTAAAGTCCTTGCTCTGGGGCCAGTAGGCATCTTTGGGTTTTAGAGCTGGAGAAGATTTTGGGCTGGTATTTCTTTGCAAGACAGAGATTGGGGAATTTGGGGGGTGCTGGAAGGGGCTGGACTCTGAGCAATTGGCACTGCAGCTCCCCAAGGAAAGCCTGAGCACAAGGCACTCCCCTGCCTGCCAGAAACCCCGAACTGGCCGACACGGCTGCTGAGATGCAGACGTTGCCCGAAGGCACTTCTGTGTGGTGGGGGCAACGCCGGAGTCCCCGCAGCAGGTGGCACATTGTGAGCTGCCAAACGCGAGGCCAAAGTGATATTGGGAACCCCTCTGTGCTCGAGAACATCAGAATCCCAGGAAAGAAAGAAACTGTTGGTAACTGGAGGTCCTGTTCCTGCCCCCGAGCAGCCTGCGTGGCTTTGCAATCAGCTGTGCCTCTTTTAAAGGGGGGGTTTCTCTTATACAAGAGACTTGCATGAACCCAGAGGAAACGGGCTCACCGGGGACGCGATGGCGTTGATGATGCTTTTGGTTACACATGGTAAATTGAAAAACCGAAGTGCCAGCGCCAGCCCTGCTGCAGGAACTGGTGGGTGACGAGTTTGGGCACGGCTGGGGATGGGAGCAGGGCTGGCAGCGGCACAGGAGGCTGGGGGGGAGCTCACACACCGATGGGAACAGGGTGAACGAGGAGCTGCGCCCACTGAGCTCCTCTCTCTGCCTTCCCCTCTCCAGTGTGACCAGTACAAGAAAGGAATCATTTCGGGCTCCACGTGCAAAGATCTGTGTGAGGAGCGCAGCCTCCTCTTCCAGCACTGCCTCTCCTCCTCTCCCACCCAGCAGGTAGGTCTGTGCCCCGCCAGGGAAAGCACCACATGGCAGGGGATGGGCGCGAGCATCGAACGCAGGAAACGTCCCCCTCCACCCACCTGCACGCCTGCTCCTCACCCCATCCCTGGGACCATCCCAAACCGAACCACAAACCGCTTCTCTGCTGTTTTCCTCCTGTCTCCGCCGTGTCCCCTCTGCTGTAGGTTTACAGGGGGCTCTGGAGGGAGAGGGAGGTGATCATCAAATGCGGCATCGAAGAAGCTTTGAAGGCAGACAACCACCCGGACTCTGTGCCCAGGAGAGACGTGGTCCTCTTCGACAAACCCACACGGGGGACGTCGATTGACGAGTTCAAAGAAATGCTCCTCAACTTCCTGAAGGTCAGTGCAGAGGGTCCCTCCGGGAGCCTGCAGGCCCGGATGATTAATCACATCTTTCCTCCCCCTTAAACAAGAGCTCCTCCGGGTGCCGGGCAGGGCTCCTTACCCCCTACTGCAGAGCACGTACTAGATAAGCTGAGAAAATCCTCCATTCTCACACAGGAATTCTTATCTGTGAGATTTTAGCAGCAGCACCCCAGGAGGCTGCTGTACTACGGCTGTGGGTGGGATCTGGGCTGGGCAGAGCTTGGTCACAAGCCCTTTGGCGGCCCTGGTAGCGCCAGCACGGCTGCAGCCGTTACCCCCGCGCAGGGTTTTGGCCACAGCGGTGGGTTGGCAGCACTGCCCGGCCTTTGCTCTTGCTCCCACCTGGGTCTAGAGCAGCCCTGAGGCTGGTAAAACTCTGCTGGAGCTGAATCCATCCAACTGTACATGCTGGATGGCACCGAATTTGCTTGAGCACGGTGCCCGTTTCTGCCTCTCCCAACCTCTTCCAGTTGGACTCAATCTTAAAGGTCTTTTCCAACTGAAATGACTCTGTGATTCTGATTCTAAGCTCAGTTCTTTGCTTCCCCAGTTCAGTTTGTGATACGAAGCCCCAACACAGCTGCAAGGGTCTGATGAGACCTCTTGTTCTGTTCGCAGGCCAAGCTGGGAGATCAGCCTTCTCTTGCAGCCCTGGTGAGCCGGATCATCACCATGGCAGACGTGAACCGCGATGGGAAAGTGTCTTTAGCAGAGGCCAAATCCATCTGGGCACTCCTTCAGCTCAACGAGTTTCTTCTCATGGTCTCCTTGCACGAGAAAGAGCACACTTCCAAACTGCTGGGGCACTGCGGGGACCTCTACGTCACCGAGAAGATCCCCCACACCTCCCTCTATGGAGTGAATGTCCCCCCTTTCCTCCAGTCGCTGCTGCCTTCGGTCGTCCACCAAATCATCCACCAGTGGTTTGCACCAGCGTGGCCCCGGCGGGCCAAGATCGCCATCGGCCTCCTGGAGTTTGTGGAGGAAATATTCCACGGGACCTACGGGAACTTCTACATCTGCGAGACCGGCTTTAAGAACGTGGGCTACAACGATAAATACGACTTCAAAATAGTCAACCTGAGGAAGGTGGCGACGGAGATGACAATCAGAGGATTCCTCAAGGGCCGTCACTGTGAGCAGAACGTGGACTGCACCTACGGGAAGGACTGCACGGCGACGTGCGACAAGCTGATGAAGCAGTGCAAAAGCGACGTGGTGCAGCCCAACCTGGCGAAGGTCTGCGGGTTGCTGCAGGACTATTTGCTGTACGGAGCGCCGCTGGAGCTGAAAGAGGAGCTGCAGAAACAGCTCCGAACTTGCATGACCCTCAGCGGCCTGGCCAGCCAGATGGAGGTGCACCACTCCCTCGTGCTGAACAACCTCAAGACCTTGCTCTGGAAGAAGATTTCAAACACCAAATATTCCTAACGGCGGCGACGGCATGGGGAAAGGACATCCCTGGAGTTTAGAATCTGCAATCCTGGAGTAAAGTCCAAGGGTTGAAGGCCTGTTTCTCCATCCTCTCCCCCACAGGAAAAATACACCCTGCGCAGGGAGTTCAGCACAGCTTCTCCTTCATGGAAAACCAAGCGTCATGACTTCCACCGCCCAGCAGGATCATCGGTACCGTCGGCGAGAGCGTGCTGCAGAGCTGGGACACGGGCAGCCGGGACACGGGCAGCTGGGCTGAGCAGCCTGGGGGGGAGAAGAGGACACGGAAAGAAGCGAGAAGGAAGCGGAGCCCAGCTGGACGCATCTAACTGTTCCTTGATGAACAGGAAAGCAGCGCAGAGAGAGGAGAATGAATCATTCATGCTGTACATGTCACATCTTCTTTTGATGAACGTCTCTGATGTAAATAAATAGCTTTTACGTGAATCACACCAGTACATCAATAGCAAAACAGCAGCATTTTAAGTACCAGCTTGCTCGTGATCTAAAAAGGAGAAAAAGGTAGATTTCCCTATTCAGAAGTCTCTGCTTAAGTGTCTGAGTCATCGGCCATCAGCGCCAGCTGTAGCTTAGGAAGCAGATACGCTGTCTTTCCACAGCGGAGAATCCTGCCAATTCTTTCACTCCTTTTCTAAGTGCCTGACCCCAGACAGTGACGCGGTGGCTTGTGCGAGGCTCCCACCCGGCTGCTCCTGCCTGCAATCGGCAGCACAGGCCGTTCCCCCCCGCGTGTCGGCTTCGGAAGAACCTAAGGCCAAGAATAGCTTAAAGGAAAAGGGCTAAACATGAACAATTCTGAGCAGTTAACGTATGTGCTCCGCGTGTTACTTCCCACAATACTCAGAGGAGGGATAAGCCAACCTCATGGCTTAATTCTAAAACTAAGCTGGGTTTGCACTGCAGAGGTTAAAGATTAACACCAGAATAACCCAGTGCTTGTCTCATTATTAAAACGAATTTCCAGGCAAGCTCTGAGCAGGTTTCAAGACATTTATTTGGCTACTATTACATACTACCAGGTCTCTAACTACAGTGTTTCCTTTAAACGCACAATTACAGCAACCTTTTAAAACTACAGGTAGAGAGGAAGAGTTTATGTAAACTACTCTGAGCTTGCTGTTCCCAGCACAATCGTCCTCCTGCTGATGGACCATATGCCAGTGCTCTTGCCAACAATTGCTTAGGTAAGTGGACCATAGATCTGAAGTACAATCACAAAGAAAAAAAATAAAATACATCTGACAGGATCTATCGCCTGTGAAGGCAAGCAGTAGCGTCATGGCTACAAATTTATGAGCCCTTTGGTGGAGCGATATCAGTATTCCCTTCTATTAGTTCTATAGGATCATCATTACCTCTCGCTGTTATTTACGGAGGAAATGTTTCGGTGTCAGCAGTGCTCTAAATCTAGCAGGGAGCCGGCGCAGCTCACTCCCCGCAGAGTTGGCTTCGCGACGTAACTCATCTGCGGGAGGCCAAGCGGCTGGAGGGCTCCTGTGTTTGAAGGGAGGCAAGTTCCTGAGCCCGCGGAGTCACCCTTAATCCGGTAGAAACACCGCAGAGATGGGCGATGGGGGGTGCAGGTAGGAGGTTTTGGGGGGTGAAGGCTGGAAGTAGGTAACGAGGCTCCACGCAGCCACTCCAGCTCTATTGTCCTGCATTCCCATGGCAACCAGCTCCACCGACAAATTAATTTTCTTCCGCTATTAGAAAAAGGAGCCTAACAACCAGGCCAAACCCTCTCCTCGGAGTTTCAGCAAAGCCGTTCTTTACTCTCCCCTTCTGGGTTTGAAACCTACTAGTAAATTTTGTCCAGATATTCCTCCGACACTTAATCCCTGCTGCTCCCTTCCCCAAAAGCAGTGTTGGATAAAAGTGGAGGGAAACCATGTTCCTTGCTTATCCACGTAATCTTAAATATCAGAAACCTTTTAAGCATTTATAAAGATGAAGTTCAAGGAGAAAGACAACCCCTGTCCATGAAAGAACTAGCCAAGGCAGCTTCATTCAAACAGACACTTGTGACAAGCACTGTCACGTTACCACACCATCAGTCTCCACACCCCAGAGCAGCAGTGGACGCTCCCAGGAATCTCTTACCCCAAGAACACAGATTTTTGTTCAGCACTAATAAAAAGCACAATTGTTTTCAGACACGTGCTTATGTTTCACAAGCTACACTGGGAGAAAAATGACTAAAGGCAAAGCTATTTCGCACTCATGCCTTCTCCAGATTTTCCTGCATTAGCTGGAAAGAAAGAAGACAGAACACGCAAGACTGACAATCTGATCTCACCAGATGCCATTCAGCAGCACAGGGGGTTTGTGCCACAAGGGAATGGAGGGAAGGAAGCAGCAAGACTTCTACCTTTCATTGTTTAAAGTAAAAAAAACCCCATCCCAGTTCTCATATCCACAAATAAAAAGTCTTAAATCCTAGAATGGTTAAAAATTAGTATTACTTGGGGTGCTACAAATACACAAGCATAATAATTTCAGACTTCTTGTAGGTGGCATCTTTATTTAGCGGGTTGTATTTTTTTTTTTTTTAATTCTTTTTACCACGTAGAGAAAACACAGATCCAAACCACAGTGCTTTAGAATATGGCTGTGAAAGCAGCACACGAGCTGAGGCGACTCGGCGAAGGGCAAGATTACAGCTCGTACAACCGCTCCACGGGAGTGCAGCAACAGCAGAAGGGACACCTGGAGCACAACAGCTGCCGTTTGCTTCAAACCAACACTGGAGTACCCAGGCTGAAGCAAACACCGAGAGCCACGAGCAGCATGGCACACACTTCGACTGGCTGTAGTGTGCCTGAACCCACGTATGAGAAAAGACAGAAGTTTTAGGAACCTATAAATCTTCGAATGCAGACGCTGCCAACTGTTTCTTTTGCTGTAGCCAGGTTTGCTAGAGATTCTAAGACTCAAGGCATGATCTGCAAATAAAAAAAGGCCCGGGATGTTAAGATAGCTTCAAATACAGCCAGTAAAATGTAGCAGTAAATGTCAATACTAAGAAGCTAACTAATTAATCTGTACCATCCAGACTGCTGCTGTTCACCTGGACAGTACCTGAGCTCAGGCACTGCAGCTGGTCAGGACACAGAATTGCTTTTCATTATTTCAGAGACGACATTTCCACTTAATTGAAGAATTATATCAAGGTTTGTCTTGGGACTATCCAAAGATTATTTTTTTTTTACATCCCAGAGAAAATAAAAAAAAGCTTCATAAAATGAAACGGAATTTTAGGGAAGTCATTAGCTGGGCTCAATGATGATGATTCACAGGGAAACTGCAGAAAGGGATTTATTTCAGTCTGGAGGCACAGGAACACCGTAACTCGCACCGGCTGTATTCACTGCAGCCCGTGGAAGCCAAGTGCCTGCAAACTTGGGTGGATCAGGACACACAGCTGACAGAAGGCAGATGGCACTAAGAGATGAGACTAATTTAGGAGAGATTCTTTGCCACTAGATCAAAGGTTTTGGAAAAAAAAAAAAAAATCTTCTGGCTAAGCACAGTGTACTCTGGCAAGTGTAGGAAAGGGATAATTTAGCAGCACAATAGTTGGAGCCTACTCTTTGTTACTCTTTCACTCTTAGGCTCCCTAAAACCAAAGGTGAGTTTGCCAACCTCAATGCAGAGGCAAGCTATTAAAAGTGCTGAGGAAGAAAAGCTGGTCTTGTTCCAGCATTCAAAGCCATGACATAAACCAGTTCTAAATGATGCAGGACTAAGTCAACGTGCAAAGATTTTTTTCATTTCTCTCAAACTCACTTTAACACAAAATATTCATCTTTTCCACAGCAGAGAGCCAGGTAATTCTTTCAGCAAAGCAATATTAATAACCTGGGATTGCTGCTCAGCTTTAGGAAGATGGTTAACAACAAATGCTATTAGGAAAATTTTAATACCCATCCTATGCCTCACGCAGTAAAGTTCTAAAGAGAGACTCATTAGGCACTCACCACCCCTACATGACCCTTGATGCGAGTCAAGTCTGATGAAAAAACTCAAATATGTATTTCAGGGTCAAAAAGTCAGTAAATTTAAATAGAAGAGTCACATCTAAAAGCATGAAAGCATGTCTCCTTGCATAACCATGTCCCCAGCCACCTTATTAGCATTCTTTTCCAAAGCCACTGCTGGTAGGCAGTGACTTTTCCCAATTAAATGGCTCATTTTGCAGCCAGCAGCAACCCGCTTGGTTAATGGCACCTCTGGCCCTCATAATGCCCATTTAATGAGGACATTTTCCACCATTTAGCACTGCCAGATTTTGTTGAGCTATTAGTCACTGCAAAGCCTCAGTTTCACAATACTATCTGTGTGTAGCCAGAGCTTCTCTCACCACTTAATAACACTGCCACAGCAGAGGCTCAAGTGCACCCCGTCCCCCAAGAAAGGGCAGTCAAACACGGAGCTATTAGGATTTATTGATACCTGTTACTCTTTAGCAGGTCACTGCCTTGGAGGTCAAGTTCCTCTGCCATCATGCTAACACCTAAACACAGCAGAAACCAACTAAAAAGTCACACTGTACTCAATTATATTTTTGCTTTTTGCCTGCTGTGTTACCAGCTAGAACCTGATGCACGAGGAAGGCAGTCAGTCTGGGGAAACAGCAAAGCATTCCACTGCTGCGTTTACTGCAAGTTAGTTTAGAAGGAATTTAACAAGACTTCAGGTTTTAGCACTGATTTTTTGCTTGGATTAATGAATTCAATCACATTATGCCTAAGACAATCTCATTATCTTGCACATCTGTGACACTAATTTTGTTCAGTGGCGTTTTGTGTCAGACTGCAGTAGTACCAAAGCCTGGTTTGATCTTACATAAAAGTGTAAGAGCTCAACAAAAGTGTCTTGTTCTCACAGCTGCCCTTAAAAGGATGAACTTTGGGAGCTGAGAACGGCAGTTTGAATTCAGAAAGTTCATCACAACAGTGTTTTACAATTGCTTACAAAAATGACTGCATAGCAAAATGGAGGAATCTGAAAGCACTCCACCTAAAGTAGATTTGTCAGCAAAAAATACTGAAATTTAAGTCCTTCCTTCAAGTATGCACTAGTAGACAAATAAAGTTTTTATTTGTCTATGTCCCATAAGAAGCTGGAAGGACAAGATGTACCAACCCAAGGACTTCCAGCCAGACTGTTTTGGTAACCCACTGAGGTTCAGCACGTTTCCAAGAAATGACACAATACCCACCTTCACCATCTGAAGCAACTTACCCAACTCAGTCCTGTTCTCCAAAGTAACTGTAAGAAGGAAAAAGATCTTCATTGTGGGGTTTTTTGGGGGAAGGAGTATTGGCTTGGGTTGGTTTGTTCTGTGCCCTCTCCCAAGCAAAACAAGATGACTATAAAGCTGAATTTCAGATTGCTGATTGCACCTTCTGCTCCAACTTTAGCACCCTTGGAAGTCGCGATGCTGTTGGCCGGGTGTTTTATTAATGCTGGGAACAGGGTGCAATTTCCTCCATATGCCAAATCCACACCCAACTGTTTCTAGATCATGCCAGTACTTTGGAAACAACAATCTCCAGTGCCCGTTTCCCCTGTCCCCTCCACTTCCAAGTGCAATTCTTGGCATCTGCATAATGCTAAACCCTGCAAAACTCAAGAGTTGCCCTTCCACAGGCAGCAAGCAAGGACGTCCTGCAGGCCATGAAGGACCGTTGAAGGCAAAAATAGAATTCAAGAATACAGCTGTCACTTCTATTTGTCCTTGCAAAGAAAAGGACTCTCCCCTGATGCAGTTAAAATTGGCATAATTTTAGCTGCTTTTCAAAGGAATTTTGCTCCATCTTCCGCTGATTCTCTGGAGAAATAAATAATCATGGAAACAATGTCAGACTACTAGTAATCTCTGAGCAGTTACAACTTCAGGCGCAGGAAGCCCCCTTCATCTCTGACCCCCAATGATATTAACATGTCAGGAGAGCAAATCTCCAAGGACTCAGGGCTATTAGAATAAAGAATACGGAGTCTGCCATTCCTCCATAACCATAAAATGTGATGCAAGAAACCTGAATTAGCTTTTAACATAGCGTGTTAGTAAAACATCCAAGTTTTACTTCTAAACAAAGACCATGACAGCAGAGAAGGCAGTGGTTATCTGTCACATAAACAACATATTAATTGTGAGAATGACTTGTGTACCCTGTCCCAACTTCACGATTTAAGATTAACATTAAAGAGGAAAAACAGGAAAAGCAATAAATAACTGTAAGGTTGCTCATCATTCCTGAGTGCTCACAGGTTTCAGAGCACTAGCAAAGACACAGCCTTTTCCTTTCTGCCACCTAATGACACAAACGTGGCACAACAGCCACATCTGCAACACGAGCTGGGGCATGGAGCTGTTCAGCAGGGAACGTGAACACAACTGCTGCTCACCTCAGGCCTTTGGGAAGACCTCCTGGCCTTGCCACATCACAACGTTTTCTCTGAAAAAGAAGCAAAAAATAGATACAGCATTTATTTTATATATTTAGACACACTTCAAAGCCTGGTTACTTTTTCACTGACAACAGAAATCTGAAAGGAGACTAGGAGAGGGAAGCTTAAGGAACAAATGCACGGCACAGGCTATTTTTACTTTCAGATGGGAAATGGGTCAGGGCTGCCAGCATACGACTCCCAGCACGTGCTCCCAGTGATGTCCCCAACTTGCCACGTGGCTTTACACGGATCATTTCAACTCCTCCTTCAGTAATACAAGTCTACATGCCAACAGGATCCTACCATTCTCAAGGCTAAACAACCAGAAAGCCACACACAGCCTCTATGCCGCACATCCGCTCCAGGACAAACACAACTCCTTTCTATTCTATTACACACAGATCTCACGTTTAAGGCAATTAAAAAATAGGGAAGGCTTAATTTCTCTGACGTTCCCTATTAACAGGCCTATTTATAAATAATGTCAGGCTATCAATCACTCTGAGTGCTCACGGGTTTCAGAACAAACGAGCGTAGAACATAGCCTGTCTCTCTCTGCCACCTAATGACACAAAGATGCCACAGCAGCCACCTTTGCAACGCCGGTGGCAGGTAGGAAAAAACCCACAAAGGCTGAAAAAAAGGAGATAGCTACAGATATTTCTAAGAACAAGATTACATCGCCTACCCAGAAAGTAGTACTGCAAAGGCATTTGTGCACGTGTAGCTACTAAATGTAACACCCCGCTGAGAGAGCTGACAAGATGGCCCAAGCTTACTCGCATTTGTGTTAAGCACCACTTACCCCTGATTCTTCAAGACGGGCAATCTTTTTCACTTCACCATCTGCCAGGCTGAGGACAAATAAAAAGAACGCAGTTATGAACAAACAAATGTTCAACCGGACGCGAAATAACCTTTTTTTTTGGTGAACTGCAACATTTAACAGATAACCAGAAGATTAAAACGTAATTAAAAAAAAAATCGTTTGAGTAATTTACTTTAGTCAAATCTTTAAAGCTTCCCTCAGAAGCTGAAAAGGCGGCAGCCCCTCACTCTTCTCCCCTCCATCACTGAAGCAAGGAGTGTTTACCTTCACCCTAGTCCCTTCCCATGTTTATAAACACCCGACCTGCCCTGAGCGCAAGCAGGGCTCGAAGCAAAGGGAGCGCGGGACTGGGCCCAGGGGCCCTGCGGTGTGTCCGCCTGCGCGGGGGACGCTTTGTCCCGTCTGAGGCCCAGAAATCTGGGGAGGGGGAGAGGCAAGAGGCTGCGGCCTAAATCCCCATTTTCCTGGGGGGTCGCCCAGATGAGGGCCTCACAGGCAGGCAGCCCGCCCAGCGGAACCACCCGTACCTCCCCTCACACCTCCCTCCTCCTCCTCCTCCTCACCCCGCGCAGGGGGCTCTGCCGGTCCGCAGCCATGTCCTCACGCCGCAGCCTTCCCTCGTTCAGCGCCGGGGGAAGACGAGGAGAAGCGGAATGAGCCGCCGCCGCCCAAGAGACGGCCCCGAAGAACCTTCGCTGCA